AGAAGTGATCCTTCGTTAGCGTGAAGAGTCTGCTAAGCTTTATGCGGTCCGCAGTACCTGAGCGTGCTCCACTAGCATTGTGGACTATATAAAAATCGCTGGCCCGCGATAGTGTCTATTGGATACATTTTGGCCCTTGGACAAATGCAGTTGGTGATCCCTGCTCTATTCTATCAATAGCTTTCATTTAATTTAAAACCTTTATTTGTCCAGATTGTCCCTTGAGATCATAGATCTCTTTTTCAAGGGAGACCTGCATAATGTGTGTGTGTGATTTATAGAGGACTGTTGCTGTGCAGACAAAGAGAGATAACACTTTCTGCTGACTGTTAATTGCATTTGCATTGTTATTTTGAGGAACAATAACTGTACTGTTCAAATGTCACCTTGGCAGGAAGCATCTGGGTGAACAACAAGTCGAACAAAGAGACATGTACTGAATACAGTTTATCATATAAGCGTTGCATTTGGTTTTACCATATAAAGTAATATAAGAAATTGCCACTACAGTTGACTTAGATTTCTTTAGTTTGGGGAAACTCAATCACGTAGACGCTTTATTTCATAGCAGACGTGTTTACTTTACATTATAGGAAACACAGGTGTTGGTGTCAATATGTCAGCTGTACACATGCATGCTCAAATAGAAAAACTGCCAGTTAAATACAGCAGATATTTGTTTTACTGTTTAAAATAACACCTGAGCTTTCTGCGCAATGACATGCTGAAAGGCCTAGTATGAGAAGGCCTGTTGTGCTTATTCAAAAGCCTTGGGTATATTTGTTCATGTGACTGAATTTAATCAAAGATTTACTTCAAAGTCTACTTTGATGTGACTTTATACAAAAGTTTGAAATATATGATTAAACGTACTAAACTTAGTTGACAATCAACGCCTTCAAATATAGTTTTTCTTGCAATCACCGAGTATTGGCTGTTTTTCTTCGTACAGAAAACGTTTTCTTTGTAGTAGAATGGGTGTGACTGAGGTGCGCTGATTTCAGCATCCTAAAGGATGTACGTTCTCAGGAAATGTGAATGATGGGGCTGAATTTGGCAGACTGTGGTTGCAGGCTGTTTGCGTGGATCTGAACCAGAGAGGAAAAACCGATGCAGTGATAAAAATATCTTTCTCCATCTCTTACTCCCCTGGGGCGGGCTGCCTCCCCGGGCTTTCATCCGGTAGCCTGGAGGGAGAGAGAGAGAAATTAAACATAATGTGTGTCAAGGAAGAGAGAGAACTAGAACAGATAAAATGTGGGATGGACGTCATCCAGCCACAGAGTATCTGTTGGGGCTAAAGAAGGATGTGAGAGCAATGCATTCTCTCTCTCTCTTTCTCTGGCCCCCACCCCTCACTCATTTCCTCTCATCTCCACTATTTGTCTGCCCCTATATAACCCCTGACACAGACCCTCTCCCCATCATACTTACAGCATGTTTGGTGGATAGGAAAACAGCAGGTGTCTGTAAGTCAGCCTGATACAGAGTTAGAGATATTTGTTATTTATAAACTATATTAGTTTTTCTCTCCAGCTGTGTTGACACAAAAACCAAAACAGACAAACTTCAGAGTTGTGATTTGAAGTCGTACAGGATTGTCAAACAGTAGCCAGGTGAACATGACGGACCTATCAGCTCTCATCCTAAAGATGGCCTTTCTGCTGCTGCCTCTGCTGCACTGCACAGGTAAGATTTTTAAATAACTCAAGGTTTTGTAAAGATACGGTGCATGGCTGAAATATGTTATTTTGAGCAAGGTATGTGTTGTATAGTGTAATGAGGAAATACATTAGGCAATAATCAATATATATTTGTCTGTATATACAACTAAAAAGCATGTTTCAGTTGAATCCTGCCTGTTAAAACAGTTAGAAAAAACGTTTTCTACATTTAAAAGTGACATCTATTTTACTGCTCTATGTAACTTAAAATATAACATTGTGTTTTAATATTCTTTTTCACAACTATTCAATATAGAACTTAAGTATGTGGATCATAAATCATTAACTTAATTGAAAGTCTCCCATAGAACAAGAAGCAGGATCACATATTGATTTATAAATGCCTTTTGGAAAGAGCAGAAACAGGTGCAAAGTATTTATTCTCCTCTAGATGCAAAGATGGACATCATCTTCAGTAAGCAAGATGTTCTGTTGGGAGAAGAGATCTTACTGCTTTGTAAAGGTGAGCCTTTTTATTTTCATGTGATCACAAATCAATCTAGATCATCTAGATGAAATTAAGCATTTATATTCACTCTGTCTTTTCCTTCTTTCCGTCCTGAAGCTGGGGCAGAGGGAGAAATAACGTGGCACAAAGATGGGGAAGAAATTATTGATGAAGAGAAGGTGACAAAGCAGGATGAGACTTCCTCTAAACTGCGCATTAAGAATGCAACGATGCAGGATGTGGGCAAATATAGCTGTGTGTGTGAATTTGACAGTGGACACAATGATGACACTTCTACACAGCTGTATGTTTATGGTAAGTACAAATCAGCACTTGATGAACCTGTCTAGAAATGGGTAATAGTCATTTCATAACAAACTAATTTTTTCGCTTTACTGCAGAAAGTAAGCATCCTTACCTTCTACTTTTTTCTTAGAGGGTCCATCATTTGGAAGCACAAACACATACCATGAATTTCTGGAGGGCACAGACGGCATTGTGCCATGCCTGGTGATGGGCCAGCCAGCCGTGGATGTGCACTGGCTCAGAGACGGAGAGGAAATCTCCTCGAATGGTAGGATCCTTCCAAAATATTTCCACATTTTCTCACCTTGCTAAGCTTAGACTGTAAACAAATGAATTGGCGAAAATAAGACTGGGAAACTAAAACAGCATTGCTGAATATTGGACTTTAAATATAACCCTTTTTTCTGTGTTCTTGTCTCTCGCTTCAGGAGGAAAGCGTGTGCGTCGGCTGCCTGACAACACAGTCCTGATTGAAAAAGTGAAGAGGAAGGATGCTGGGACGTATGTGTGCCGGGCCCAGATCAGAGGAAGGCCCGTCTATCAGCAACTCCCTGTCTCTGTTGTCGTCAATGGTGGGTATCTTTCACCCATAAGGATCAAGAGCTTTGAAAGATAAATTATGACACAAATAGCAAATTCTTGGATGCTCAGTTTGTTAGGCACAGACGCATGTAGTCATATTTAGATACGAGGATGCCAGGATTAGAACTATGATGGATCAAAGCGTTCTATAATTTCCCTTCTGCAGCTCCTCCTTCTGTGCGTCTGAGAGAAGAGGTGAAAAAGGTTCTGGCCGGACCAGAGACCAACGTTTCCCTGCTGTGTTTGGTGGACGGTCTACCAAAACCCAACATCACCTGGAACATGTGAGTCCTGACATGGAGACATATTTTTAGTGTCACCATAAAAAGGCATATTGTGTACCCATATGTTGATGATGGGAAATGACTTCAAGTGACCTCAAGTTTCACGACTCACAGTAAATGCTAATTTGCAGCAAGCATTCAAATTGTAGTGCATCACTTTACTCGACTTCAGTTGAATAACATGTTTTTAATATATTTTGGGTTAGTTTTAAAGGGCAGACCCTTCAGGTGAAAAGGGGAAAATATTGTATTTATATATATTATCATTTTTTTGATGTTGTATTGCAAGTTTATCAAATTACTATAAGTGAGACATTATTTAATTATTACAGTGGAGTGAGAAATCAACAGATGCAAACAGACAAAGTGTAATAAAATAAACAGGTAGATGTATTTTTTTGATGTTTTATGTCCACTTGTCTGGGAGAAGAACTTGATTTTGACCATTGTATGAAATGGTAGTGTCTTTCCATGATTACAACTTGGTTTCGGACAATCTACAATCTGCAGTACAACTGTGTCATTATGTATTTTAGTGTGTGTGTGTGTGTGTGTGTGTGTGTGTGTGTGTGTTTCTCCCTCCTCCTCTATCTTTCTCTAAGCATATCCTTTGAATCCATATGAATAACAGCAATAGTAAGTTTGTATTGAGCTCTGCATCTCCTCCTCACAGGCCGGTGACCTTTGACCCCTCACATCATCAGTTTAACTCGGACCGTAGCCAGTTGACTATAAAGTCTGTTGCCAGGGGCGACTACGGAGAGTACATCTGCACCGCCACCAACAAGATCGCTGAGAGCACCGCTACCTTCATGTTTCATGTTTATGGTCAGTTCAAGTGTAATCAATATTTTTCTTCCCCGTTCAGCAGTTCCCTGAAACACAACAACAGCATAACCCAAAAGTGAATATATGAACCATTACGCAGCGTCCACACGGCGGCGTGCGTTGAAGCTTGCCGGTGGGCGTGTCTGAAACTCGACCAACATCCAATCACATGAATCTCCCGCCCCGGACACACAAGCACGCAGTTTGATTGGCTAGAGCTTGTACTGGCATATGATTCGATTGGCTGACGCTTCCGTCGAAGCTTCAAAAGTTGAACATTGCTCTACTTTTGAACCTTGCTTTTGAACTTTTGAACATTGCTTTTGAACATTGCTCTACTTTTGTAGAGCAATGAACTGCATTGTGGTTCCACAAAGCGTGACGTCACCTCATTCAAAGTGAATGGGCAGAAGCGTTGAAGCTTCAAGGGGCCGTTAGACATGCTGCATTTAACCCATGGTGACATGTTTACGTCATGCATTATATACTATAATGACACTTGATGTTTTATTTCAGAGGCCCCAGAGGTGTTTGTGTCAGCAGAGCAGCAGAGTGTGTCAGTGGGCGAGCGGGTCACTGTGTCCTGTAACATATCCGGTCATCCTCAGCCTGAGCTGCACTGGCTCAACAAGCAAAATGGACGCATACTGGTAAGATCTGAGGAATCTGTTGAACAACAAACAGTATCATACAGGGGTTGTGATTCCGTATTCCGATACTGTAAGCAATGCAATATACAAACCCCTGCACTCTCCATCTAACATCTAAAATCATAGCACTACTTATACAAACTCAGCCACTGTTTATCACAATTCTTTGCATGTAAATAATTGTTGAAAAGCGATACACTATCACAAAACACAAAATCTTAAAGTTGAAGTGTACATTTTCTTACACCCATTGGTAGGAGTTTATGGATCCATGCATCATCTGCCCGCTCTACATTTGCCACAGTAACCAAAGCCCATGTCAATCAATCTGGCATAGCAAGTTTTGATCAACCCATTAATCATGTGCTTGTAGACTGGCACTCTATACTTCTATCTAACTCACTGACATATTTGCTGCGTGTTGACTTTAAACACTTATACACACTAATAGTACTTGGTACCATATCTGATTGCATATTTCCCTGTGTGCCTCCCTCCGGCAGGACTCTGGCTCTGGTCGTGTCCGTGTTGAAGATGGTGCGTTGGTGATTGATGAGGCAGTGCCCTCTGATGGTGGACTGTATTCCTGCATGGCTGTCAGCAACTCGGGAAACGCATCGAGAGACGTTGCAATATACAGTAAGAGCTTATGTTCTCAATATATAGAATGAAGGAAAAGCAAGTTGAACCTCTACTTATAAGCATCCATCTGACTCACCTCCCTCCTGCCTCCTAACTCACAGCCCAGCCCGGTCCTCCTCACTACCTGTCAGTCCTGGACCCACCTCAGTCCTCTTCTCCCTCAAAAGCCCCCTCGGCATGGGCAGATTATTAGACACAGGCCCCTATATGCCCAGACATGTAAATGCCTTCTCTTACATAGAAGCAAAACATGCCTTGTGTCACTTTGTGGCTGTTTAATTATCTTTTTCTTTATTTTAATCAATTTTAGTTTTTTGGAAGTTGTTGTGCTTCTCTTTATTAATTGTGAGTCTCTTTGAAGTAATTTTGAGTCTCTTGGTCACATTTTGAGTCTATTGTTGGTTTTTATGTGTCTCTTTGTAGTAATATTAGGTGTTAGTTGACCTTTTGCAGTTGTTTTATATTCCTCATGCTCTTTAGTGTCTCTTCCTGGTGATGTATCTTTTTGAGTGACATTTTTCAGCTGAAAGCCATGGGGTAGCCAGCTTGTTTTGGTTCCATCCATGCCTGTTAACCAGGAAATGTAGCCTAAAGCTAACCTGGGGGTGGTGGCAAAATGAGTTCTCAGATTGACTTTGTTCTCTCTCCTTCCAGCCAAAGTGAGCAGCATGACAAAAGGCACCGTGTTCGGCATTGTCATGGTGATCTTCCTGGTGGTGTTCCTGGTGGTGGACGCCACCTGCTGCTACAGAAACCGCTGCGGCCTGCTTATGTCCATCTCTACGAAACTGTTTGGACAGAAGGTCCCAGGCCTCAAAATGCTTGAAGAAGGAGAGGGAACCACTAATGGGTGAGTTTGTCTTGGTATATTCATTTATCTGTTATCATGTTCACATAATAGCACTTTGTGTGGTTGTCCGTCATCAAGTTATTACATATGAAATATTTTTGTGGCTGCAGAGAAGTGAAGCTGAATGGCTTATCCACTCCGAGAGGCAGTGTGCAAAATGCGGGGCTGCAGACATTCCCTAAGGAGGGGGGGGCGCTGCCAGAGATCACCTGCGACAAAGCCTCCCTTACCAAACATGAGTATGTTCATTCACTCCCCTATACAGCAAACACGCTGCCATGAATGTTTTCCAAAGTCAGTGCCTGCGCCCGTCCCCAACATGCAGAGCTGACGGCTGGAATTCATCATTTAAAAAAGCAGTTGAAAATAATAAGTTATTAGAGCTTTTGAAATAAAAACTGTATTTAGATATTAATAAAATGTCATCACTAAAATCTGCTTCATGTGCATGTGGGACAATTTTACTCTGGCAACAACAGTATTTGACTTGAACAAAACAATTAAACTCTGGCAATTGCTGCTTAATTAGACGTAGAAGTAAAGCAAATAATTGATGTTCTTTACACTTGCATATTTTATGCAAATATCTAATTTGTGAATTATTTCTTTTTCGCAGGAAAAAAACGCCAGGATCAGACACTGCCGATGCATGAGGCCAGAAATCAGAAGAAAAAATAAATGAAATAAATAAAAGTGTGAATAATTTATAGACCAAAAAAGAAGATCAATAAAAAACAATCACTCAGTTGTATTAGCTGGGTCACATTGGATACAGCTGCTATGAGAAAGGTCAGTCTTCACTGACAGAATGGAGGGGAAATCCTGATTGTTGAGGTTTGTTAACACTTGGCTGTTTCACACATCTGTGCTGTTAAAGTGAGACGACAGCTGGTTAACTATCTCCCAGCTTAAAGTTAAAACGAAAACTGACACAGACTTCATGCAGGAGGTGCACTTTGTAGATGCTGTTGTTGTTGTTGTTCTGTGTACTCTGAATTATATTAGGAAAAAGGAAAAGTTCATTTACAGGGTAATCGTGATGTCTGTGTTTTACAGGGTAAAATGATTTGTGTTGGAAAAAAATGAAACATTTTCTAAAAGTCACAATCAATGTTTACCTTCAACATTTTAAATGTTGCACACAGACAGATGGTCTCATTTCATTTCTACTCAAATGCATTGAAAATAGTTTTTATGCGTTAATGATGCTTTTTATATCTTTATTTTCTTAACTGTTTTATTTACATGCATCGTGGCTGCTCTTCTGAAATAAATGTAAGCATTATACATCTTGTTCTTTTAGATTAAATAGCACAGTTTTTTCTGATACTGACATGTATTTTCAGCTTGAAATAAACATATATTACCTTTATGTAATCATCAAGCACTAATATGTATTGTTTTAAACCGTAATTGAAAGATATTTATCATGAGAGGCTTTAAACTGAAGCCATATTTGACTTAACCAGATTTACAAAGCATTTTTTGTGTGGAAGAACTTGTATACATGGTTGGCAACTGCCACTAGAAGGGACTTGAACTATACATTTATTAATTAAATATTTTGGAAATATCCATTCAAAAGTACCTGTAATAATAGGCGGCATGTCAAACGTATACACAAAACACATTTGTTATATTCACTTAGTGAAGCTTTTATATTCATATGTACAGTAAACAAATATTCAAAGGAAAATTGTCAAAAATTCTACCTTCAGCTTTAAAAAAAAGAAAGAAAAGATACTTCGATATAAGTGACCTGGCCATTTTAATGAAGTGTTTTGATCCTGTTGTAATATTGCAGTGATCACTATCTATATAGTGATCACTGCAATATTATCTATTGCTGTAAATACACGTGTTGTTACATCTTTGTGATTCATAAAAACCTGGAGGTTCATGTCTTTCTATGCTCACCAAATGAATGTTTGTTTTCTCATTTTACTAGCATTCTTAGTCTGACTTAACAGTTTACAAATGACAAGAACAGACAATGTTGCCCAAAACCACTTCCGGAGACCATTTCCAATTACACAATAAAATAATAACTAATACAACCCTACTAATTATACTTACAATAAGATTCTCTTAATGCTATTCCTGTTTAGTAAGTTAAACTTGTTTACATTTTTAAACCTGTAATGGATTTATTTTACATTATTGACGACTTGTAACTTTCTTTAGATAAACTATCTACAACTTAATTCACTACTGTTAGCTTGTGTCAGAATGAGACCTGGTTTAAAGGTACTTGTTGATACACAGAGACATGAGAAACATACACCACGAGAAAAATAACTTAATTACGAAGTGAAGCCATGCATAATAGTCTCCATAAGGCACTCTCTCACCCTACTAAAGCAGACTAGATCATGGTTTGTAGGTTGAATAGCAGCTCTATGTGCTTCAGTTCTATGACTGTCTGACCACGCCCCCTGCCTGATGCGCTCGTGCTGTCCAGAAGCACATGACCAGGCGTGTTTACACCTGCACTGACAGACAGGCACACAGCGAGCACACTTACAGGGAAAACTATTGTTTGAAACCGAGAGAAGAAGCAGTCGTCAGAGGTAATTATTCAGCCGACGTTTACTAAGACTTGGTAAGTTATCCTAATTAGCAAAGCTCTTGTTTTCCTTCATTCTGCGGTGTGAGGACGCTGTCTTCCGTAGCAACAGATGCTACTGTAGGTTAGCATGCTAACAAGTCTGCAGCATCATCTCTCAATAAGGTTAAAGGCGCATAAATAATTATAACACAAGCTACAATAGACATGACGTCAAGAATATACTTGGACAATAATGAGAGCCGTTTTCTTTCAATGCCAGCCTCATATAGCTTTGTATTAATAATAGTTGTTTTCTACTTCGTGCTGGTTTAGTAGGAGGTGGTGTTAGTGGCTAAGGAGGCGGCGTTGACAGGTAACTAAAGCGTAGACAGCTGAAAGGATAGTGAGATGTTGCGGTCTGCAAAACCACTGAAAGGGTCAAATTAATTAATATATTTACTTAGTATCTACATGTCGTGTTATGTTCCTTAGCTCCAGGCAGCCTCGGCCCATCTGTATCCCAGGAGGGAAGCTACATCCTCGGCCACAGGCTACAGGAAGCCATCCCTCTGGCTGTACATCATGGAGGACACAGATGTGGAACGTGAGCTCCTCTCTTTTCCCCCCCAATTCGTATTATCTCCGCCTCTATTCATCTACAGTTGTGAATTTGCTCTGATTGTTCTGAACCATGCATATTTTTCTCAGGTTGCCCTAGGTTTTGCGGCACTGGTGTCTAAAACTGTTTTCTAGTCATTTGTGTTTAGGGCCTCTCCTTCTTGTGTTTTACATTTGAATCTCCATGCTCATATTTCTCATAATTCTGTGGTTTTTCCCTCTAGAGGTGACCCTGGCTCTTCTAGACGCGGCCACTGATAAAGACTCAGAGGTCCAGGAGCAGGTCAGGAAGTCCATGTTGACCCTGGGAAAACAGCAGCCAGACAGAGTGTTAGCCATGTGCCAGGACTACTTGCTGAAACACCCTAAGGTAAATCGCCAGGAAACAGCTCTATCCCACTTCTTCTACTGTGTGTGTCTAAGAAACCATACCGTGGTAACCAGTGGACATAATTATCAGTACACACTCTTGTAGCCCTTGCCAAAAGAGCCAGATCGGCATGACTGCTATATATGAGCATGCTTTTACTACCATTTACTCTCCTTTAGTTCTGGTATTGCCATTAGTGTCTGGTCAACACCATCTGGGAACTTTTCAACAGTTAAAGTGCTCTTTTGCTGTGACTGCAGTCTGTAACCCCAGTGTACAGATTAGAAGCTACAGGGGGTGAACACAAAAACATTGAACACCATTAACTTCTATGATGGAAATCTCTGTGTTTTGATTGAATTGTGGTCATGTGACCCCCTGTTGTACTGCTAATCTGTGGAATCTGGTCATACCTAAAGGGCCTCTAGCATGTGGTTTGATTTCCCACACATGCAACATGTAAACTTGTGTGTATTTGTGATGCATTTCTGTCACAGAGAGAATCCGATTTTCCGCTTGAGGTTTGACTAATGAGAGTCAAGCAGCATAAATCACTATTAATGTACATTTTCGATTCATTATCTTGATATATCAATCACTAATTGGTCTATGAATGATAGAACATAATTAAACTGTTTCACCAACAGTCCAAAAACAACAATATTTCAGAATGACTTAAATTATGAATTGTACAAATATTCAAAATAGCTTTCTGCCAATTGAGCTTAAACTTGAGTCTTAATGTTACAAGTCTTTAATCCACTGGAGTTTCCAAAAAACATACATCCACATTTTTCTTTTTAAACAGGTTTTGTCAAGGGAAACATCAGTGACACTGCATAAAGAATGTCCTTTTTCATTGAGATGTTGTTGAATATTCTGTATTGTGTATTATGTTTAGCCTACGTTGCAGTCACTTGAATACATTGAACTTAGCTGTGACATTATTACTTCTCAATTTTGTTTTAAAATAGATATTTTCTTTTATTCCTTCTCTTCTTGTCCCTCCTTTCTTCTCCTCTGCCTCTTTGTAGTTGGTGGTGAGCCACAGAGTTGTGATTCTTCAGACTATTGAGCTGATTGTGGGCTGCAGGATAGAGGAGATCAGTAACCCCAGGATCAAGAGTATAATCTCTCTGGCCTCAGATGAGATGACACGATCAAAGGTAAAATGTCAGATTTACATTTTTTGTTTGTTTTTTGTGTAATGCAGAGTGAAGATGATGAACTATGTTCCTTAATGTTTTTTCTGCCTTTCTGTTTCCCTCAGGAGGTCATCCCTGATTGGCAGCAGGCAGCCAGTAATATTTTGGTCGCTGTGGGCAACAAGCACATCAATGACATCATGGAGGAGATACTAAGCAAGTTTCAGCCGGGGCTCCTTCCTCACTTCTTCGTGGTCAAGACACTAGCCAACCTTTCAGATTCCAACGGTAAGAATATATTTACTTAAGGAAGTTCAATCAGTTATTGAGTGATGTTGAGAAAGACAAAAACCTGTTAAACCTGTTTTAAAACAGCTTTTATTGGACAAAATGTTTGCACACCACCAGAGTTTATTTGTTTAGGAGCACACAACATTGGTCCCATACGACATCCACTGCTTCTGCGTGCTTTACACATTTGTATGCATGTCTTCTTCATTCTAAATGTGCATTTACTGTGATGTAAAACCAGCGTTCAGTTATTATGCTCCAAACTGCAGATCCCCTGCAAATCTTGCTTATTTTAAATCAGGGCTATATAAATAAACTTGCTGGCTTTGCCTTTAATATTGGAACATATAAATATATACTATACAGTATATAATAGATATCAAATCATGACTCCTTATGAACATTCTAAATGCTCAATATGACTTGTATCAGTGGCTGCTTCTGAGTAGCTGTCCTTGTAGTTCTTTGTGTCAACTGAATTAGATTTATGTTGACTTTTTAGAGGAATTAGCTAGAGTAACTGTAAATCAATGACCAGTACAGAGATACAGAGTTCCCTCCATGCTTTTCTGTTAACAATTGGTACAATTTCTCCTAGCACGGAGGAAGTGAGAGCCAATAAGGTCTAATTTATGCTGTATTCTTCCTTGTTCTCTAGTTTATGGAATGGTACCCTTCCTCAATGCTATTCTGGGCACCATGCTGCCAATGCTGAGCATGGCCAAACAGGACAACATGAAGTGGGTCTTCTCTTCAGGTAAGAACCTCCCTACAGGCTTTTATCAAATTTTCATAAATGTTGAATAATATAATATCCTTCTCCTAAAACACTTAAGGTTCACATGGTTTTGCACTCTTCCTAATTTCCCTTTCCCTCCGTTTGTTTCTGCAGCTCTGTGTCACTTCAGCGACAGTATCTTGGAGTACCTTGCCAACCTGGACAAAGCTCCAGATCCCACAGTCAGGAAGGACACATTCTCCAGTGAAATCTATGCTGCTTTCGACATCCTCTTCAATAACTGGTTACAAAGCAGGGAGTCAAAGGTGAGCTCCCTGTAGAAAAACATTGTCTATTATCTTTTGAGCTTCATGATTTCTTCTTCACCTTTTTCCATGGCTTCCCTTTTTATGTATTCCCTATTCACACAGTTCTAGTAAAGGTTACTATTTAGTGAATCTATGTCACATAATCTCTGTAACGCCTGTCACCTGACTTCCTGTCTCTGTGTTCCAGTTGAGGTGGACAGTAGCGGAGGCGGTGGGCTCTATGAGCCATCTGATGGCCAGTGATAAACTGGAGGAGCAGATTCCTAAGCTCATTCCTGCCATCCTGTCCCTGTACAAGAAAAACAACGAGCACTATATCATTAGCAAGGTGGGTTTGAGTTTGTAGTACAGTGCATTTTGTTTCATGGCCATCATTCACAACTGTCTCCTGACTTTTATGGGCATTCATTCTTTATTTCTGCCAATTAAACTTTGTTTCACTTCTTTATTCTGCCTCCACTCAGAGTCTGTGCCAAGTTCTGGATGCTTCTGTCAGCATGAGCAGCAGAGTGCTGGAGACACAACTGGACAGTCTGCTCTTTGCCCTGCATCAACAGGTACACACATACTAAATCAAACAATGCAGCACATCACAGACACATGACACAGACGCTCATAAAAAGGGGACAATTTGCAGAAATCATACTCGTCAAGATGTTCTGCTGTTCTCATATATATACCTCCAATTGTCCAATTCTAGATGGGCTAGTAGCATACAGTATATTGTGTCTGGGTTCCTTTACCAACGTTTTGGATAGCCTATCGGGGTCTGGTATATCTCCATTATGTCATATAATAATAATAATAATAAATGGGATTTATATAGCGCTTTTCTAGACCCAAAGACGCTTTACATTATGAGTAAGGTCGACAAACAAAACAAGAACAAAAACACAAACAAAAACAAAACAAAAACAGAAAAGCAGTCAGGAGGATGTTGGTTCAGAGGGGGGAGGGGCGGGTTTAAGGATAAGCAGAGTTGAAGAGGTGGGTTTTGAGACGGGACTGGAACAGGGTGAGGGAATCAGACTCACGGAGGTCTTGGGGGAGGGAGTTCCAGAGCTTCGGGGCTGCCACAGAGAAGGCTCTGTCCCCGAAGCTCCGGAGTTTGGCCCTAGTCTTCCCGTGAAATTATAGTTCTTATTGAAATATAATTGAATGCCTAGCTCGCAGCATATTTAACCCTAAGTGTGTTTTCCCTCCAGGTGAGCTCTGTGAGGTGGATATTGATGAGTGT